CAAATGAGCAGCTGCTTGAGAAGCAAAATACGTGGACAAGAATTTAGCACAATATCTCTAAAACTGTGCGATTTCTTCGTGCTATTTTGAATTGAATTTTCTTTAAAAACAGCAAAGAAGCAGAAAGACCACACAAAAATCATGAGCACAGTATTGTAGGTAAGGCAAACTAAACATCGGCACATTATGGTAAAAAGGAAAAACTAACCAAATATCTAACTGCAAAGTGTAGTCAGTTTTCTACGTAAGCCTTGAGGCCTTGACACACTGGATCTACTTACTCTCTTCAAAATAGTTGTTTATATTAAGTCAGAACCATTTTTCAAAAGCCATTTTACACCGATTTTGATTTGCAGGGATTCATGCGGAGGGCATATTTTGTGAATGGTGAAGTCAAAACTCTTTTTTGCAATTGCTCAAAATCGCAATTTTTATAAAAGGTGTATAAATAACTTTTATGCATACAGATACAGTGCTCCGCAAATATAATATCTACAATCTTTTTTTTATTAAAAAGTGTTACTTTTCAGTTRTTTCTTCTCACATAAAAATTATGTTTTTTTATTAAGAAAAAATAATTGTTTTTCGGTGGTGTTTTCTTACAAAATATGTTTTTTCTTTCATATAAAAAAATGTTTGTTTTCGGCGCCGCCATCTTACCAAATTGTGCCGAACGCTAGTTTCGACTCTCAGTTGAGTTAAAACACATTTAAATTTACACAAAACGCGTACTCTTGAGCGGAGTAAATCGTTCGGTTTGTATTCAAAAAGTTTTCACAAAATTTTTGTTGTCAAAAAAAAAATTCACTTCTAATTTATTTATATATTCTATTATTTTTATGTATAACTTTAACTGTAAAAATATTTAGCAATMAATTTTTTGCTGTATTAGTCTGCTTACATGTCACTTTTCTTTGCGCAATCTTAACACAAATTAAGAGTTCGCATTCGTGGAGACGACACTTGTACAAGTGTGGTAACACTATATTAATTRAATTTAGTTTGCTTTTGGGTTTTTTCTTTTGTTGTACACTTACTTCAAATTAGCAGCTAATTGGCGGTTTTATTTTCAAAATTAGTTTTTGGTTTTACACTGCACATTTTCAACGTAATCTTATTTACTTTGCATTTATTTATTTGTCACTTAGCGCTTTCTTTTAATTTTTTTTTCAATTAAAACTTTATTTGCAAATTTTTCATAATTCTTTGCTAAATAATTTTCACTTTGTTTTTCTTAATTATTTACGCTGTTTCTGGCAGATTTCCCTTAGTAGACGCACATTTACGTAACACTGATAGGCAAAAGCGCGCTGCTATCGCTATGCGCTGTTATCGCTCCGCCGTTAGCTTGTGTCCGTATCCGGTGCAATTATGTTCAAAAATATCGTCAAATTTGCGTAGATAAACTGCGGCAATTGTGCGCGCGCAAATACACCTACACAATCGCACAATGACACACACACACTCACCTTTGCACGGATGTGTGTGGTTTTTAAGTAGAAAATAAAATACGCGCACACAAAAGTTATCTTTTTCGCGCTAATATCCGCAGCGTAACGTTGCGCTCGACGCGACAATACGCGTTCTTATTTCACTTACAACAAATCGAAGCGATACGCAGCGATCGAAATACCGTCGTTGGCTTTGCGCGTGTAATGTGTGCTTTCTGCCGACGCATTTGGCTAAAAAGAATTACCAGCTAGCGCCAACTAAGCTTTGTTTCGGCCAACGTTATTGTTATTATTCACTTTTTGTGCACACTTTATGGTAAGCTAAGAGAGGGCGCGGGCGCGCGCGGTTTGTGTCACTATGTRTAATGTTGGAGCAAAAGCTTTTAGCCGCTTGGACACTAGTAATGCACCCGTTAGCAGCGGAAAATGTAAATGTAAAACGCACGCACGCACGAATTTGACGACGCAAAACGGTTGAAAGAGGTTTTCGAGCGCCACACACAYGCCAATAAAACGCTAGTAAACACGTCAACGGTCGCAGACCAACTGAATTCAGGAAAAACACGAGACGTCACGAAAGAGATGACAAACAAAACCTGCCGTCGCAGCAACAGCAGCACACATATGCGCGCRAATGCAGTGGCGCTTGTGTGAGTGCAGCGACAGTAAGAAATGGTGTGTGTTGAAGTGAATGCCGTTGTTGGCTGGCTGGCTGACAGCTATAGCAACAACAAGCGCGCGCCWTGGCTTGCCCAACGGACAGTGGTGGGTTGGGTTGCCGCGTCAGTACATTCAGTGAACGCGTGTGTGCGCGCCTGGTCTGGCCTGCTCTGCGCGTTAATGGTTGTTCGCTGAGCGAAAGCAATGTTGTGCTGGCGCGCTCACAGACGCGTTGCAGTGTGTGTGTGCGAGGGAGTAGTCGCTAATTGGGAGTGAATTAGTGTGTGCTCCTCACGCAGAGCGCCCATGTTGCTGAGTGAGTGGTGTGCAATGTTATGGCGTTCGTATTCACTCTGACTCATGTGGTTGTCGTGGGGCGTAGTCGAAAAACTTGCTGCTTCGGAGAAACCGGTTGARGCACTTCATTGAGTGTTTGTCAGCGATTTTCGCAGTTGGCAATGCTGTTGCAGGAATTTTCTGAGTGGAATGAGCTCAGCGTAGAAAAAGAAATTAATGTGAGTGAATGAGTGTTTATGTAGTTGTGCAAATGCAACTGCACTCGCGTTTCAATAAGGCGCACAGTGCGGCTCTAATTGTATGCATCGATCATGAARTGTAGTAGGATTGGATTGTTTTGTTCGCAATTATGTATGTWCATGCACCCACAMATATGTACGTATAAATGTTGAGTTATATTTGGAAACTTTATAGTAGATCAGTGCGACTAGGAGTGCGACAAATTCAGGAAATAGTTAGATAGTTGTCTCAAGAATTCAATTTCAGCTCAATATTTTTGCAAATTCAATAAAACCAACAATCTCATACACAACTGAAATAATATTTTTACATTTTTAATTACTTCCAATAAAAGTGCTTTTWAATAACCCTAGTTTCGAACTTCGAGGAATAATATTTCGATTTAGCCTCTGRGTAACTTTGAAAATCGAAATTTTCAATAACCTTAGTTTCAAACTTCGAATACGAAGGAACAAAATTTTTTACTTAGGGATCAATCTCTCGAAAACAATGAGTTTGGTTCAAAACGTAACAAAACTTRGAAAATGTTCGAATTTGGCGCATATTGTTTTTGTGTAGAAATTTACGTTTCAGATTTATTATAAAAATCGAAATTTTCAAAAATATTATTACTTCGATTATTATCTGAAAAATATATCTAAGAAGTTTATCTGAAATTTTCAAGTTTGGACCAATTACTAGTTTCGTAGAATTTTTTTTTAATACGACTTTCCAAACAGTGTTTCGAGAAATATGTACATGTTTTTGGGAGCCGATTACACTGAGTTTTATAATTTTATAAATGTGCCTTCGACTCTATTTGCCGCATTAACTTCGATAATTCGATGAATATTTTAAAATATGAGAATATTCGATTTTATTTACATACATACATATGTACATATATTAATATAATATTAATAATCTTAAAATTATTCGAATATGCGGTTTGTATCCATTCGTATGAGTATCAATCGATTAATACTATACGAATAGTCGCAATGTCACGACGTTTTGCTGCGTGGAAAAACTTTTTAAACCTTTAGTATTAGAATAGTCGAAAAAGAAATATTCCAATAGTGGAACGAACGGTTAATCTAAAAGTCGACGACTTACGATTCTTTGGATACTGCATACTGAATATTATTATTCGAATAATGCCCTAACTAGTACATATGTAAATATGTTCAAACAAAAATTATATTTTTTGAAAATCACAAAGTGATCTGTCTAATTAAGTTATGAATTTATCAGTGCTAATTTTGGAAAATTTGGTGGAGGTTCAATAACTAATTAACTAATATATAATTATTTTTATGTGGTAAATTTTTAATGGAACACTTTTCAAAGAAAATTATAATGTTTTTAAATCGAATTTCAAAGCGCTCGTTAGTATTATTGATTTAAGAAGTAAGCTTTTATTTCTATTGCTAACGATTCAAAATTTTTCCCTCCACTAATAATTGAATATAAAAATCGTTTACTTAAAAATGTTCTAATAAAAAGATTTATAGAATGCGTATATATTATATTCACATATGTATTTGTATACATACATATACATATGTATAATACTTCTATACAATAACTATATATAATATCTACTTCTAATTTATTTCGAACTATAAACTGATCACTTGCAATATGTATCGATATCAACAAAATGCAACTTGATCGCACTGTCCGAAAGTTGGAATATTATTATTTTTTTTCTTATTTTCTTTCAGCATTTTTCCAGCAATTCAACCCATGCAGCAAGCGCCACATATTTTGATTTGTTATTGTTTTTTATTCCTTACTCTCTTGACTACATGCACTACCCCTCTCAGGTTCAATTTCCGCTGCATATTACGCCTGCAACGAAATTGGTCACTCACCGCCAACGCTACAGCCGATTGTCTCTTTCTGACGGCTTAACAATGTCACTACGCTCGTTAACTGCATTCGCTTGCATGCGGCCCCCAATAACTTTGCTATTGTTCTTGCTTTTGTTAATGAAGAATTTACTTATTTAACTTTTCGACTCAAAAYTCACTCACTTCCGCACTCACTCAATGGACTACTCACATATTTGTGTGCCTCTCTTTTCCTGGACTGTCACTCGCACCCTTTCGTTGCGATTTTGTTGCCTTCGCATATTACTCAATGATTTGCCGTAACGGCAGATCTCTCACAGCACTCATTGTTGTTTTTGCTTCCCATCAGATTGAAATATATATAACAACAAATAATAAACAAGCATACGAACAACAATAACACAYGCCAATGCAACTGCAACTGCCACTTCACTGCACACACACACACACACACACACTTTGATGTTTACACATATTTACGCTGTCATGGCAGTGACAACAATCGATCGTTTCGTTCGGCGATTATTCGGTTTATTTATGGCCTTAACATGTGCAGATTTGTCTTTGCTGCTGCTGCTGCTGCCTCCAAATATTGTTACTATTGTTTTTGCTTTTTTGTTTTCACTTTTGTTTTTGCTCTTGTGTTTGTTGCAGTCATTCATTTTGACTTACGCGCAAGCGAGATGGCTTCATGCCAGTCGCCGATTCTGCAGCTAGTTGGCTGTATAGCGGACCCCCGTTGCTCCACTCAGCCACAAACACACATATGCATGCAGAAACACACAAATGCATGCAGAAACACACACCTACATGCATGCACTTACATGCATTTGGCCACTTCCTCCTCCATTGCTGCTGCCATTGACCAGTCGGTAGGTTCGGCTCGGCTGCMACACAGTATCTGTTCGAGGAAACGACATATGTGTCGTCACAGTGACTATTTGCTTTTGTTTTTACTATGCGTATGTGCATGTTCTTTRTTGTTGCCTATGCTAGTCGTCGTTGTGTGCATTTTTTGCGTTTTTKCATACTTTTTATGCTTTATTGTTTTTGCTTGGGTTTGCATTWGCTTTGTTTGCCTATTTCTAGTCTCATACATATACTTGCTGCTGGGTTTTTGGTCGCTTTTCTRCAAGTTTTTCGCACAAAATGTCCGTTTTGCCTCGCAGCATTCAAATGTTGGCTGTAAAGAGTGACATGAAAGTRTGGTGTACAGTGTATGAAATTTCGTTGACATAAACACAGGTTTAAAAAACGACAATACTATTTTGAATTTTATTAGTATCAAAAAAATACTAACCTATATTTTTTAATTTTATTATATTAAATCTGCAATACGGTGAAACTTATGGTGCGAAGTGTCAGGGTCACATTTCTTAGTGTAGAGTAATACATTTTTTTTCAAGCAAGATGAATTTTTATTCAGGAGAAGACTAAAACACGATCCTTTTCTCAATGCATGGTTAGTAGTCATCTACAAGTTAAGCTCTGTTTAACAGAAAAGGTTCTTTACCAGTTAAATTTTGGCTATCAAAAAAGGTTTTTTTTTTACCAAAGTTAAACAGAACTTAATTGCCATTTAACGACTTTTAAGATATTGCTTTTCTCGAAGCGCTGTTTGCAGAGTTGGCGAGGAAAATATCTGCGAAGTACCGGCCATCTCGACTT